TTTTGTTTTGGCTCAAGATATGAAGGCTCACGTTTCTGATTGCTTTGAGTTGGTCAATGAACAATGGATTCCCTGCCTCAGAAGGAATGCTAATGATTGCAACCTTGGTGAGTTGGCTTCTCCCCTACAATCCTTGGAACAAGTTAAACCTCATCCTTCTAGAAGTGATGCTACGTTCTGGGTTGAGAGAAGTCTGGAAAGTTCACAGTCAAATACTGAAGCTTCTTTCGGTTGTGGAGGGTCAACCTCCTCCTTTGGGCTGGATTTGGAAGCTAAAGAGACCACCAAAAGTGGTATTTTTTTGTTTGGGTTGCAATTAAAGGGAGGATCCCCACCATTGATGTGCTAAGAAGAAAAGGGATGATCATTGTAGTAAATCACTGTTACTTATGTGGGAAAGCCAAGAAGAACATTCAGCACAACCTAATCCATTGTGATTTTTCAGCAGGTTTGTGGGCTCATGCTCTAAAGTTGTTTGTTATGAACTGGGTAACCCCTCTGGATATCATTTCTTTGTTCTACTCTTGTCATTCAAAGGCTCTTAGTAAGTTGCTGTGGAAGACCTTACTTTACCTGCTGAAAAATTGTGTGCAAGATCCGAAAGAACTTTGTTCAGGCTTCTGTTTGTAATCTCTTTTAGGTTATGCATTCTGGGCATTTCATTGATCATTGGGAGAGCATTCAGTGGGTCAACGATATTCAAATTAATATTTTCCTTTAAGCTTTTAATGAAATCTTCACCACTTTTCAAAAAAAAAAAAAAAGAAAATTGCTTGGGAAGGATTTCTTAGGGATTGATGATTGGAAAAAGGCAATGGCTGGATCAAGATTTATTCAAAACAAAGTGGTCTCCTGTAAGGGTGTTAGAGATGGCAAACTGCAGTGTCAATTGTCAAATGTCAAAGTTGGTGTCAGAGGGGTGGAGTTGTCTTGATGCTTAATTCTTCTGTATGTCACTTTTAATTATCTCTTTTCATCTTTAATGAATTTCCTTTACCAATCATCAACTTGCTCCTATTATAAATTACACCATGAAAAATTTGTGAATCCAATAAGAAAACTAAACTAAGACTATTAAGAAACACAAAATCTCTCTTCAAATAATATTAATTTGATTAGGAAAACATAGGGTTCATCTACCGTAAACTGATCTGGGCGGCGGTTTTCTGAAGCAAGAAAATGCAACCTCATTGATGCAACTATCTCATACTCTTTTAGTAACATGTAGCATGTCCAGAAGGTGAAGGCATATGCCATTACCAAATGAGTCCAAAACCTGCATTGGAAAAGAAACAGAAGTTTATTGCACTTAACTGGTTAATCAGAACAAATATGTGACCATCCTAATTACAATATTAGAGTAAGGAAGTTTTGATATGTATATAAATTGACTGCTTTTATTTTTATGGGATCAATAAGCTTGTACAAAGGTGCAACTAGGTGCCACTGCACCAGTAAATTATTAAATAACAACTCCACTGTCATTGTTCCCGAAATTCTGTGGTTTTATAAGGAATTGTTCAAAGATGACTTTCAAGGGAGTTGTTTGAGAAGAAGAAAATATGTGCAAGTCTTTTGCAAGGAGCTCACAATTAACCTTACAACTCACAAGTACACATGCCTCTAATTCAGACACCTGGATAAGTCTATAGATCCAATAAATTGGGACCTACATGATATAAACACTTCAAAAATGGACATTATACCTGTGACAGACAAGTATGGACACATTATATAGACACATGAGATTCCTTGTTTGTTGAGTCTGTCATATGTGCTTAAAGAAGCTCAAACTCCTAGGATGAATTTGAAATATGCATTTGCAGCATTCTAATGGTAGCCTCAGGTTGAGATTTGCTATTTCAACTAGAATTTAAATGTTAGAGAGATATGAATTATCTCAACAGGGTATTTTTGGTCATAGTCAAGTCATGTATAGGTTGAGTTTTTTTTTTTTTGATAATTAAGTTTGTTATGGTACTGCTTATATTAAAACTGGGTCTAGTAATTCCCTAATTATTTTTTTTATAATTTCAATTCTCTAATCATTTAATGTAGTAGTGTAAAGTGATGAGGTTTATAATCAACGAGAAAATGTCTACCATCCCTATTGGTATCTCTCACCTATTGTGTCTTTTTGTGTAGATCAAATGGTGAAAATGCTTTCCATCCACTGGGCTGCATTCTAATTGTTTCAAGTTTTTGAGAATTGCAATATCTTATAAAGGGGAGGTCGCACCTCACACCTCTATTTGGGTTGCTTGTAACAATTTTAATCCTTTTCTAATGAAATTTTTATTCATTTATCAAAAAAAAATTGAAAATGTTTTCCATCCATTAATCTCTTGTCTATCTGTATCCTGTACTTGATAGTTGTAATCAACCTTAATTTGATCACATGAACCAGAAAACAGAGAAATGAGCAAAAGAGAAGAAAATAGAAAGAGAGAGGAGAAGAAAAGGTAGGGTTCTGCACAAGAGAGAGTTCTCATAACTGACTTCTTTCAACTGCCACCCTCTTATTTTATTTATATAACGAGTGAGTAAATTACAAAATTACTCTTAAATAACTAAAATACTTCTAAAAGTAGTATTTCTTCTCTTTATTTGGATGCACAGATAGCCCTGAGAGATTTGGCTAATCTTTTCAGCACTTTGTTTTTCTCATAATCAAAGAAAAGATAATGTGGAGGCATATGAGGACTGCAATTTTATGGTTCATTTGGGAGGAGAGTTACACTAGAATTTTCAATGGGAGATAACACAGTAGAGATCAAGGTGGCACATTGGATTAAAATGATGGATGTTCATACCACGTTGTCTTCACTAAATCTGGTAAAAATGAATTTTGATGGATGCAGCATGGGAAATCCAGGTTCCTTCAGAGATAAGAGTTTGTAGAAAATTGTTAAGGGAAGCTCTTTACTTGGGGCCAGATGGATATGGTGATTGGACAAGAGCAGAAACTTTGGCTGCTGTAAAAGGTCAAAGGATGGCTAAATCACTGAACTTGATAGGTGATTGGACAAGAGCAGAAATTTTGGCTGCTGTAAAAGGTCTAAGGATGGCTAAATCACTGAACTTGATAGGTATTTTATAGCTGAAGAGGACTCGTGTAAGTGCGAGGTGGATAAGAAGGAATTATGCAGGTTAGTGGAAATATAGATACGCTCCAATGGAAATCAAAATGCTTGATGGCCTTGAAAAATAAGGGGTAAACAGAAATCTAATTAATGGGGTTCGGTTCCTCAAGGCTATCTACTATGATACAAATTTCTGTATAATATCATATTCAACAAAATTTCTATTATTGATCAAAAAAAAGAAAATATTATATAATTTTATTATTTTGTTAGAGATGAACAAGATGCATTGAAGTTCTTCCATTTAGTTACTTCTTCACACCAGAGTGGTATATATCTCTCGTCTCTACTTTGTTCTTCATATAATTTCTTTCCCCCATTTTTATCTTCCTACTCTTCTTGTTGCTGAAATCCTAATTCACATAATCAATATACAGTGTAGGCTCTCTCTTTTCTGCATTAGTGTTGAAACAGTCTCCTCAACCCCTATCACTAGGAATGAGAAAGGTTCCTCACATGTCTTCTGTCACTGTATCAGATTCCAAAGACTACTTGGTTCAACACCATCAAACCCCTCTCATTATTTAAGTTACTAAAGATAATACAGGTGGCACCATCATTTAAGAGTGTGTGGGTCAAACTACATATTACCATCGTCAAAACTTCTTACCAAAAATGACAAAGGTAAGAAATAAGGAAGCTTACCATAAATAGAACAACATTCATAAACTAAGAGGCTAAAGCTAAACATTTCTCTTTCTCAGTTGACAAACATCACAATTTCAATATTAGGTTTCTTGTGTTAAAATAAAATAAAATAAACTTGGGAAATTGAACTTCACAAGAAAAAAGGACTACATATTTACATGTTTATTATAGTGGTTTTTTAATGTAATTACCTTACTTATTACAAAATTAAAAAAAGGAAAAGCAGAAGTCAGGATGTGTCTCGGGAAAGTGTGCTGTGAACAATAAAGAGATACAAAATGAAGTAACTACAAACCTTTCTGATCCTTCAGGGATATTTGAAATAGAAAGCTTATCTATGTCACTGAAAGTTACATTTGATTTTGATAGCTCTAGCTCCAGGGTTCTGTTGGTCCAATTAACCGGAACCAAAATTGTAAAAGCAAGGAATGTGATGGGAACGAAGATCTTGAGTCTGCAGAAGAAAAGGGCAAAAATGAAGATCAAGGCATAAACAACCCAACTAATATAGAGAAACATTTAGTTCAAATATTCTCTGCTGAAATGGATAGTGAAAGAGTCATACTAAAGAAAAGAAGATACTAACAAGAAAAATAAAGGAAAAATCATAATAGAAAGATCCCCTACAAAAATAGCTAAACTCTTTATTCAAATTCACTTCCAAATTGTCCCATTAGAATTGGCTTTTCTGCAGAATGAATAGACACAAAAATCTCATCTCACAAACAAGAGAACAAAAATCTCTCTCCATGTAGACACAAAAGTGGATCCAATGTAAGACAAGACCTACCTACTGATAAAAAACTGTACAAGACCTAACTTTAATCACAAGATACTGAAATTTGATTGGCCATCAATAATCATCAAAAATTGGCATTAGCTTCAAAAATAAAATTATCAATGCACTGTCAGACCTTCAAACTGGGAAATATATTAGATTTCTCCCAATTCTCAAGGAGACTTTCCAAGACTCATGGAAAAGCAGTCACAATTGAGTGGAGAGGGCTCCAGCCACTAAAATTCTCCCCTGGAGATTCCAGACCATTAACACCATGCATTTTAGTTCTCTTCCTTTCTTTGAACGTCGGGTTTTAAACTGGACATATTTTTGCATCCAATCAAGTTGGTAATGCAGGCATTAGATGGGCAGCCCAGTAATGCGAGGTCACGGGAGGGAAACATGTACGCAGCCTTACCCCTAAATATACACAGAGAGGCTGTTTCCAAGATTTCAACCCTTGTCACCCAGGTTGCAATGGAACAACCCAACCATTGTGCCAAGGCCCACCCTCTAATGCAGGCATTATATATTAATTACATTATTTTCATATTGTGCTCTTCATTGTGTTTGAGCTTTCAAACAATGAATTCCAGTAAAGTACCTGAATGGCTTTTCCTAAACCATAATGTGCATAACTATCTTCTGCAAACTGTTACTAAGGCACAAAGCACCCAAACCATACATGGATTTTGGAAAAATCTTTGACCATATAGGATTTCCAGAATACTGGAACACTGAGAAGAAGAATTACTTGGATTGCTAACCAAGTATCTATGCGACTTCATAAAAACATATGCTGACACAAAGTTTTCTAAGTTTCAAGTCATTTCATAGGGGCCTTCACCTTCTTCCCCTTTGATTGAAATGACTTTTTTCTCTTCCCTCTCCCAATAAAGCCCATACCTAGTCTATTCTAGTTGCACCATAGTTTTCAAGGCACCAAGGAGAGGCTGGGGGTCAGGGGAGCGCCTTGTCACCTAGTCGCCTAGGTGGGCGCCTCGGCATCGCTTAGGCGATGGATTTTTTTATATAGAAAACATAGATCCTAGGGAAGTTCCCTAGGTACCATAGTCATATTTCCTTAATAATTATTCATAAATTTCATAAGAAAAGTATAGAGTTCATGTTAAAGTATTAATCAACATATCATGAGAAGGAAAAAAAAAAGAAGGAAAAGAAAATTCAAAAAGTATAGGGGCTGAATTTTAAGTTCTTCCTTACTTATTGGTTCAGGTTTTAAAGTCTTTGAGGGTTCAATACAGCATTTAGCAATGTTTGTGTTGATTAAATCATAACAAATAAGAAAATAATAAAAACAAATTAGTATATAAACACACAAAATGAATATTTTAGTTTAATAGTGCCTATTTTATAATTATAATGTCAAAGAACAAAGAATAAAAAAATATTTTACAATACGCAAGTACAAAACTGCTTGGCGAATAGGCAAGACGAGCCTCAAAGGGCACCTTATCGCCTAGGCATCGCCTTGAGAACTATGAGATGCATATGTTTATTCAAAATATGAAACTCATTTCTAAAATCAGGACCTTATAAAAGGTCCCTGATTCAACTTCTCAACACTTGAATTTCATAGCCACAAGTCAGGTTGTCCAACTGCCTTCTTACTTCATCTTTTAGAAAAAGAAAAAAGAATACCCATTTCTTTCTCTCCATTACTGGCTTTTATTCTTGTATCTTTGTAGCATGAAATACACAAGGGAAAATTACCCAATGATGGTCCTGAGTATCTGGGGTCTTGGGAGTGATAGACTGGATACAAACCTAACCCATGGCATTCTTTTGTTCCTTTATTCTGTCTACCATTAAATATGTAAAGGGCCAATCACCCAAAGATGGTCCTGGCTATCCAGAGTCTTGGGAGGGATAGACTGGGTACAGACAAACCTAACACCTGGCATTTTTCTGCACGGTAGCACCCTCAGGCTTAAACCCATGAATAATTATCATCCAGAGATTTGTTCCTTTATTTCCTAATTGTTGTATATTTTAATATTTTCTATATTTTTAACATTTTGTGCATCATGCCCTCATGCTTTGAAACTTAAAATTCTATTTCTATGCCCTCATGCTTTATATTTAAGGGCCAATGTTGAGCAAGAGAAAGAAGAGGAAGAGAAGAAGGAAGAAGAAGAAGGAAGAAGAGAGAAGAGGCTGGCGGACTTAATGCCTCAAAAGAACTTACTTCAAGCGAGTGAAGCATTTGTATTTATACTATACTGATCGTACAACACAAGTGGTATAGAAATTACAAAAATACCCCTGCGGGCACTAAATCTGTGTACATAGTACATACAATAACATCTGTCAACATTCCCCCTCAAGTTGGAGCATAGATATCAATCATGCCCAACTTGTCACAGAGATCTTGATCTGGAATGGTTTAGCCCTTTTGTAAAGATGTCTGCTAGTTGGTCTTCAGAGCTGATATATGGAGTGCATACTTCGCCTGTGATGACTTTCTCTCTGATAAAGTGCTTGTCAACTTCAATGTGCTTTGTTCTATCATGTAGTATCGGGTTAGCAGCAAT